GCACCATCATTATGGAATGAATCCGAGGTCCAGTGTGCAGGAGTTGGAGGTGAAGCTGTTGTAGAATCAAGAGGTATCCTTTGAGCCTTTCTCTGAGTCCCAGGCAGACTCCAGACCTCAGGAAGCAGAAGTGACTAAGTAAGTGCAATTGCAGAAGGGATGGAACCCAAAACATCTGCTCCGCACAGTTTCCTGGTTTGTTGGGTGATTTCCAGTGTCAGGTGTGGAAATGAAGGTTTTTCAAAGGGAACCACATATCCTCATGAAGCCAACCTCACACCAAGGTACTTAGAGAGCTCCCAGCTACACAGGCAGCTTCAAAAATCCATGGAAAAGTGCGTATCATGAAAAAACTAGGCACAAGTTTCCATTTAAAGGGGAACAAAGATAAACGTATGTTTTAATTCATGTTTCCATTCATGTTTTAATGTATTTCCCATAGCATTGTACTGTGAGAAAACCTATAATGGAGGCAGACCCAAGACATTGAAGGGAATCTGGCTTAGCATTTCTGTTATAAAGCTGGTTTAGGATGAGGGAAGGTAGAGAAGAGAGAGGTTGCCTCGCTTTGCATTCCATCAAAGCACAAAAACAAGTAAGAAAGGTGTAGAAGAATGTTGATCTAAACCATACAGATCCATGACAGCTCTGAAGCATCATGAGTGTTTTTCAGGGCCAGATGGACGGGGACCTTGAGCAGTCACCTGGGTGCAGGTGGAAACAAATGAGAGGATTCCTTACCTCTTGGACCAAATGCAGGCTCTGCTACTGACAGCAGTAACAGCAATGGATACCATCTTTCCTCCCTGATCTGCTTACGCATTTCTGCACCTGGCTGCCATCACTGGCCATCCTCATCACACAGCTGCCCAACCACCAGTACACCCAACCCCCCTACCTTGCTCTCTTTAGGCTTCTTCATAACTCTTTAAGAAAAAAAATCTATTTATTTTTATTGGAATGGAAGATTTGTAAAGAGAAGGTGAGGCAGAAAGATGTTTCATCCACTGGTTCACTCCCCAAATGGCCACGATGACTGGAGCTTAGCTAATCCAAAGCCAGGAGTCAGGGGTCTTTTCTGGGTCTCCCACACAGGTACAGGGTCCAAGTGCTTTGGGCCATTCTCCATTGCTTTCCCAGACCACAAGTAGGGTGCTGGGTGGGAAGTGGAACAACCAGAGTATGAACTGGCACTCATGACACTTGAAGGGGGAGGATTACCAATGAGCCATTGTGCGGGCCCTCTTTCATAACTCAACAGCATCTGAATTCCTCTTCTTCCTCATCTGTGTGTTTGCTAATGGTCTGTCCTTTTGCGGTGGCAAGTGTCTAACAGCTGGCCCCAGGAGAGGAGGAATAATGGCGAATTGAATAGTACACAGTTTCCAGATAGAAATAAACTACACAATACTCTTTATTAGTAATTCCACATGGCTCCTTTATTTCCACAGATCACACAGCTGAATTTTACCAAACTGCAGCCAAACGATGGCTGATTTGACAAATGGAACTGCATTCCAACATGCTTACTCTTTTCTCAGTAAAAATACTATTATTAAATATAATGTCATCTCCTATTAAACTATTTCCTGCTGTGGAACAAGTTTTATTCACTAAATTTAAACTTAAAGCTTCATCACTACCAATTTCAACAGTGCTGGTTATAGCTTTAGATGTTTGTGTAGTTGTCAACATTGCTTAATAGTGTTTGCAAAACTCTTGAAAATGAGTACTCTGCTCTCAGGAGTCAACAACACAGGCCCTGTGCCTACCTGACTGGGTGGCAGTTGCCATGGGCAGTTTGTGAAAAAATAACAGCATGACTTGATAGAGAGAGAGAGAGAGAGAGAGAGAGAGAGAGCAGGACAGACTACGTCTGGAATCTTGAGTTCACAAACTGCTGGTGCCAGAGACCAAGGTCAAACTCTGCAAACAATGGTCTGCAAGTGGGCAAAAGTTCGAGACCAAGGCCAAGGCCTATAGGTGAGGGTCCACAGTTGGGCAAGGGTCCAAGGCCACAGGATTGTGTGCTTTAAGATATCCTTGAGACAGTCATGGACTGACTTCTGTACATGGGTCACATGGCATCAAGCATTGGCTAGTTAATATCCATATGAGACACAGCTCTCAAGAGTTATGCCACATCAATTCTTATAATTTGACTCCCGAAGCATTTCAATAAAAGATCGAGTTAGTGCACCTTCAAGGTCAACCTCCTTCCTCAAAGAAGGAGGCTCCCCTCTGGCCATCCACTTTCATGGTTCTTATTTTGGGTTTGTCTCTTTTCTTATTTTCTCAATTGCACATTGAGTCCTCTCCAGCCCTGGTCATCCCATGCTGGTCACAGTAGTAGTAAGCTCTATATGAGAATGGTGAGCACATGCACATATAAAATACATACAGACCCCTTCCTGCCACACAATAGACTAGCATGCTGACTATATTCTCTCCAGTCCTCCTGAATCCCTCTTGTCTTCCTGGGACAGAAAGACTTGGAAGAATGCCACCATTCTAACCAACCTGGGTTGCTCACACTTCTTGGGATGACAGTCAACATCCCAATGATAGGTTTGTAATGCTCAGAAAGTTTGGTTAGATGTGAATCTGGGGCTGCAGACATCCAGAGCAAAAGTTCCCACTGTCAGCCTGCCTTTTTATAGGTATCTTATGGCCACCAAAAATGTTGAAAGGGTTTTGGTCTCCTGGCTCACATTCATAAACCTTTGCTACACCGAGGGAGGTGCACAGCTATGGTTTGGATATGGATTGAGCATCCCCCAAGGCTTCATGTGTTGAAATTAATCCTCATTGTGAGGATTTCTATTTTTAATATGATTTTTGGATTTATTTATTTATGTGAAAACCAGAGTGACACACACACACATCCCACCTCTCTTCACTAGTTCACTCCCCCAAACACCTACAGCAGCCAGGGCTCGGCCATGCTAAAGTCAGGAAGCAGAACTCCATCCAGCTCTCTTACATGGGTGGCAGAAACTCAGATACCTTGCTGTTTTCCAGGCCCATTAGTAGAAAGTTGGATCAGAAGTGTAGGGTACCCAGGATACAAACCAGGAGCTCAAACATGGAGTGTGAGTATCCTAAACAGCAGCTTAACCTACTGCACCACAGCACCTTCCAGGTGTTAGGATGAGACAACCAGAACCTGACTTTGGTGCTTGGCGATCTCGTGTAAACTACTGAACCCTGCCAAACCTTGGCTTCTTAATCTGCAGAATGAAATGTGGGCCCTGGGTGATAAAGATCATAAAAATAGCGCCTGCTTCTTCATTTCAGTGTATGTTGTATGGCAAGGACTTTCCTGATACCAGTGCTTGGCACACAGAGAGGGATGATAATTCATCACTAAATCTCTCCCTATCTCAATCATCCTAACTATTTGACAGTCTGCTAAGTTTAATTCCAAGTATTCACTCAGTAAGCATCTATTTAGTATTCACTGTATGAATAGTATGGAGATAGATATAGATACACACACAGTAGGGAAGAGATTTTTAAAATTCACTGAGAGTCATCTATGTGGCAGCAACCACACAGGGATCATCTGACTTATTCCCAAATAACTTTATGAGAAAGATTAATGTCTTCATTCATTTTGAGAACAGAGCTTTGGGAGGTTTTGTAGCTTCCCTGAAGGCACCAGCCTGAGGTCAATATGACCTGGGACCCTATCTCCTCTCTAAGTCACAAAGCCTCAGAAGTTAAATAGATATCTCAGATTGGCCAAATCTTAAATTCAGAAGGGGAGGGGAAGGAAAAGAAGGCATGTGGACAAAGAGGGGAGGAAAAAAAAAGAGAGAGAGAAGGACAGCAGGGCGAGGATTGAAGCTGAATCAGCTCGGAGGAAGGGCTAAGCAGCAGCAGGAAGTGGGGCGAGGCACCCGCCCCATTGCACGCACGCCTGGCTGCAGAGCCAGCACCTCACGCTCATCTTAGGAGCTGCAACCAAGGGCAATGTGCCGCTTCTGTGGTTTCCCAGCAGCCCCAGCTGAGAACAGCTGGTCTCACCCGCTCCTGTTGCGGGGGGGCTTAGACAAAAGCATCATAGCTCTTTCTGTAGATGTTTAGCTTTGCTTTGTTTAAAGTTCAATGTTTTTAAAATTTATACCTTAATTTCTTTATTGCAAAATCAGACAGAAATCTTCCATCTTCTGGTTCACTCACCAGTGTTCCCGTGAGCCACGGCTGAACCAGGCCAATCCAGGAGGAAAAAACTCAATTGGGGTCTTCTATGGGATGACAGGGGCACAGCAACTTGAGTCATCACTGCTACCTGCCAGTGTCTGCATTTGCAGGAAGCTGGAATCAAGAGGGAGGCCAGGATACAAGTGCAGGCATCCCAGTAGCTTCACAGCTGCTATGCCAAATGCCTTCCCTAAAGTTTGATTTTGTATTACCATGTGGCTATCTCAGGTGCTTAATCTTATTAACCTTCTGCAAGAAGGTGGTCACCAGTGAGAACACACTACTACATTTCACAAAACTCATCTCAGAAGAACCAAATACAGTGCATGGAGCTAGGGGTAGGCACACACAGACTCATCGTGGAGTTTCTCCGAGAAGGTTTCTGTTTGAGAGGAGGGAACTAGAGCCTCTGGAAGGGGCTTCTGTGGGATAGAAGGGATGTTTGCTCTTGTCTGGTTCTGGCCAACACAGTGCAGTCCCAGTCCCAGTCCCAGGGAGGTGGCCTGGGCAGGAGACTGAGAGTATGCCAAAGGCTGCAGGCTGGTTCCTGGCTCTGCAGGCTGTCTGAATCACTCCCTGCATCTCGTGTCCTTTCGTCATCCATCAGATTGCCTTACACCCAGGTCATAGAAGGATCCACTCCTACTCGGGTCAGAGTGCTACAAGGAAATGCTGGTCAGATGACAGTGGCAGTGGAAGTCAACAGAGCTGGGTGGCAGCAAACACAACCGCTGGGTGTGTTACTTTGAGCCAACCACTTACCCAAAACACTGTGTCCCAATCCCCTGTTCATAGTGTGAAGATGCAGCTCAACCTCAGTGATGAGGATCTGAGGAAGTATGTGCAAAGTAACTGGAATTGACATGCAAGGGGGCCTTCTAAAACATTATGGAAAATGTGAATGATGAAAACTGCATGGATTTCAAAGGACTGCTACAAACAAGTAAGCTTATCTTCCAATTTCATTTTTAATGCACTTTGTGGAATCCCCTTATTTATTGAGAGTATTTATCTCATCTTATAATTACCACATGCCAAGCACCAGGCAAAAGGAGTATGATGGTAAGCAAGACAGATCTAGTTGCCACTTTCTTGAAGTTTCCATTCTATTGAGGAAGAGAATGGACAATGATCAAATAAATGCAGGTGATTTGCTGGGGGTGGTGTTGTTTCTAGGGAGATCCTGTCGAGGATGAAGGAATAGGAAGGAGAAGAAGTCAGACAAGGAAGTGCTCCAGGAAACTATAGCCTTGACCTTCTCCCTTGGGAGCCCTGGAGTGCAAATCCCACCTTCAGTTATAGTGCAAGCTTTTGCACCCCAACTCTCTCTATCATTGGTTGCAGCAGGCAGCAGCATCCCTGGTAAAGTAGTCGAGGGCAGGTGTGCAGAAAGTTGTAAGAGTAAGGAGTTAGCTGCAACACTCACAGGAAGAAAGGTGTGGGTTCCCAGGCTGGTAAAGGGAGTACCAGCATGGTCAACAACATCAGCTGTAGGTGTTCATACAGGGCACGATCGGTCAGCAGAACCTCCTGGGAGAGAATGACAGTCTGGGGACAGGAGAGAAACTGTGTCATCACTCCAGATTGGGTGGCTGTGGAACCGGCTTGAATCAGACTTTGTGGACTTTTGAGCTCACAATTTGAAAGATGCTTCTTATTGTTAAGATTGATGGACTCATTTTCAGAGTTACAGAGAGAGATCTTCCATTCTCTGTTTTACTTCCTAAATAGCCACAAAGGCCTGGGCTGGGGAAAGCTGAAGTTAATATACACAGGAATTTTACTTCAAATGAGAAACCACAAAATTTACAAATAACTAAAGTTAACAAATAACACAAACATCACAAAACCCAGAAAAGGACAACATAACAGCTCTATTCATTAACTTTCCAACATGCTTCTACACTCTCTTTTCCTATAGTTTTTGGCTACAACTATTTAAATTACGTCTTTGGATGATAATGGCCTGGTAATTTATTTTTTATTAAGACACCAGTCATTTTGAGCCTTCCCTAAAATGATACCGCTACTTTATTATAACTTCCTTTTAGATTCTCAACTCGTTATTGGGTAAACTCCTACAACTTTAGGATTATTGTCAACTTCGGGAGTAGGTAATTTTTTTTTTCACATGAAGCTATAGCTTTGAAAAGCCCCACAGGTTAGCTTCTGACCCCACACAGTGGCCTTTGCCTCCCTCTCACACCATCCTGCCTTTTGGTGCTGGGTATCATGGGAAGTCTTCATGCTGAGGCACTTTCATGTGACAGCAGTAGGCAACAGGCAGTGAGGGACCAGTGTACTCCAGAAGGCCACAGGTGCACCATTCAGTACCATGGTCAGACAAGGAAGTGGCTGAATACCACATAAACATTGCCTCTCCACTCAAACAAAATCCTAAATCAACTTTCACTTCCCTGGGGACCGAAAATGCCTATGTCCATTTCAAGGCCACCCGGAAAAGAAGAAACATGAGGGAGGGAAAGTTGGAGTAAAAAGAAAGTGGCCTTCAATTTTAACTGATTGCAGTTCAACTGTTTCACTTTGGAAACATTTGTAAACACAAACACATGTGACTAAATCATTAAGGCCCTTCCATACCCCAACCCTCCAGGACTTAGAAGAGGCTCCAGGACTTAGAAAAGGCTCCAGGACTTAGAAAAGGCTCCAAAAGGGGAGCTTTCTTGCCATCACCATCAACCATGGACTCTCCGAGCAGGTGACATGGAAGCAGAGAGCATTTAGATGACGCTCAATAAACCCATGACTAATTGGAGACACATGGGGCTCCTCCATGGTCTCTGAAGGCACACAGGGTGGGCTCAACTCAGAGCCTCAGCTCAACTTCTGAAATGACACAGAACCTAGCTCTTCCCTGGGAAGGTCTCTTTTAAGATAGAAGTCCTCTAAAAGGTGCTGCTTGGGGGGGGTCACTGGCCACCCCTGCATACAGGCAATCAGTGGTCACTGGGAGGGCTGCGTTAGGTGAAAGCAATCATGATTTAAAGTCAGCACGTCATCAGGGTGTGATTGACACTGTCTGCCTCTCTGACTCTGGGTCTCTGGCTGAGGGAGGCTCTGGGTGCTGCCACGTGTTCCTGATTAGAACATTCTCGGCCTCTCGGCCTTGTTAAGTACTTATTCCTGCTCTCATCTCATTCGTAAAGCTGAGCTGCGCCCAGACGGAGCCTTCGTTTTCCTCTATGTTTGCATTCTCTCAGTGCCTAGCAAAGAGCCCAGCGCTCGGATGGCCCTCAGTTCATGCTGCTGGATGAATACACAACTGCCTGTCCAGGAAAGTCTGAAAGAGAAAAAACCACTCTACTGACTTCTTGATTTTTATCTCCGTTTCCTCCCCAGGACAGGTATGTTAGTCATTGTTCCATTTTGCTCGGTCATGCGATAGAATAGTTCCTTTTTATCGGGTCTTTGGCAGAAAGCACGAGTGAATTTTCACAAGTAATATTCACTGGTTGCTAGAAAGCATGTAGAACAGAAAGGCAAAATAATGTACCAACTGCAGTTCTCATTCTGGGTCCTCTGCCCCAAACTATACAACAGATTCTCTTTCTTATTTTTGAGAAGGACAAGGGAGCTGTTTGTCTGAAAGCACTGTTCCTTTTGTCAGTAGACACAAGCTTCTTGTGTTTGCGGGATTTCACATGATGTATTGGGGCAGGGGATGGTAATGAGAGGCGTGCAGTTTTCCCCAGCGAGGGTGCTCGCCAAGTTTGCCTGTGCCTCTCAGTGATGGAGGATGAGAGAGGCTCTGCACTTGTGTGTGGTCTTCATAGACAGTCTTGTGGGTGTCGGGGTGCTTTTCCCCATGAGTTTCCTCTTTCCTCTCAAGCTTGCTAAGATCCAAGAATCCCTCAGGGTTCAATTAAAGTTGAAAAATGTAAAGCTGATTGCCAGGGGACTAACAATCTCCTATAAGGAGATGTTAAGTTCAATTAACAGCAGATCATTTATTTATCTGGATTTCAACTATCCGTGGTGTTCAGCCAAAGCACCTTAAATCTTTGATAGAGTTTGCAAGACTGCCAAGTAAACACTAGACTAAGATTAAAAAGCCTGTTTAAATCCGCAAATGGTAAAGGAGTTTTTTTTTTAATTATTATCAAGTAAAAGAGTTTTAAAAATATGTTACTTTCGAGACAGATTCTGACAATCACTCTGGATTTGGACTAGGAGAATGTAAGGCAGGAAGGACTTGGGTCTTAATGGCAGAATAAGAAGCACTTGAGTTTTATTAAGGGGAAGGGCAAAACACATAGCTTCAGGTGATAGCCCTATAGCAAACTCCCCTATCTATTATATTATACATATATTATACTTATATATTATAGCACATTATATATCATATTATTTGAAAAGCAGAGGGAGAAAGAGCAACCTCTATCTGCTGGTTCCCTCCCCAGAGGCCCACAGTGCCAGAGGCTGGCCAGTCCGAAGCCAGGAGCTGGGAGCTCAGACCGAGTCTCCCACATGGGAGGCAGGAAGCCGACTTGTCGAGGACATCTCATGCTGCCTCCCGGGGTCTGCCTGGGCAAGAGGCATGCAGCATGAGCCAGAGCTGGGACTCGACCCCAGCTACGCTGACACGGGATGTGAGTGCCCCAACTGGCATAGTCATTACAAACCTAACCACCCATCCCATTTCAAAGGATAATTGTGAAAGTGTTTCCTTAAGCCCGCCGAATTCTTTCTGTCCACTGGTCGTCTACTGTGTATATGAGAGTCTTAGTTGTCAGCCTCATTGTAGAGCTCTGTTAAAACAAGTTTGCTTTTGACACACACTAATCCTTGATGTTGGGTTCACACTTGACTGGTAAGAATAGGAAGGAAATAATGCAGGGTAAATAGGTTAGCTACACAGTAAGCAAAGGTGACTCCAGGAATTTACATTGGGTCTAGCACAGTGGTCCAGCAGCTAAATTCTTGCCTTGCACACAATGGGATGCCGTATAGGCACTGGTTCGTGTCCTGGCTGCTATACTTGCCACCCGGCTCCTTGCTTATGGCCTGGGAAAGCAGCGGAGGACAACCCAAACCTTGGGACCCTGTGTGGGAGACCTGGAAGAAGCTCCTGGCTCTGGGCTTCGGATTGACTCATTTCTAACCATTGTGGCCACTTGGAGAATGAACCAGCAGATGGAATATCTTTATGTCTTCTGTCTCTCTTTTTCTCTGTAAAACTGCCTTTCCAAGAAAAATAAGTTTAAAACAAAAACGATATTGATGTGTAAGAGACCGATACTCTCCTGTGTGGAAGCTGCAGAATCAGGTGGTCCAGAAAGACCATCCTCACCTCTAGTCAGCTCATCCAGATCAGGCCACTGGGAAGGCTTTCCCGGACATGGTGGACAACAGACCCCTGTTTCTGTCTCCATGTGGCAGAATATTCCTCTCTATGGCCAAACTCTTGGGCTCTGCAACCAGATGACATCCAATTCTTAATCATGAGTTCCCAGCTGTATGAACTTAGCTAAGGCATGTTTTTCAGTTGTGTATGCCTGCCCGTTAGGGCAAGCACCATGGCACAGTGGGTGAATCACTGCTTAGAATGCCAGAATTCCACATCAAAGAGCATTTTTGAACCCTAGCTGCTCCACTTCTGATCCAGCTCTCTATTAACGTGCCTGGAAAGGCAGTGAATGATGGCCCAAGTCTTTAAGCTCCCACGGTCCATGTGGGAGATCAGGATAGTTTTTGGCTTCTGGCTTTGGCCTGGGTACTGGGGAATTTGGGGAGCGAATCAGTGGTTAGAAGATTCTTTCTCTCAATTTTTTAAATAAAATATTTTTTTAAATGTGGGTTTCTACTGCAACTAATCTTCACTTCCCAGTATGCTAGCCTCCCTTATACAGTTCATCTATGAGAACATATGTATATACTTACCCACCTACATAGCTGTTTTATATGAATGTTGCCTTATATCCTTTTCAGATTGGCTTATTTCATACTGGGAAGTGAAGATATGTCACAGTAGGCATCTCTACTCCTGAATAAGAGGAGAACTCCCAGTGAATCGGTTACATGTGCCTTGACACTACGATATTAGGTTATCTACCTTTGTCTAAACTTACAATTCTGTGATGCACTTAAACAGCAGAATGTTAAACTTGTAACTAACATGAAAGGTCTATAGAACTGTAATATTATGGGGGGAAGTGGTGAGGGTGAAAGGGGAATCCCTATACCTACAAAATATATTATGGAAAATAATAAATAATTCTTAAAGAATGTAAAACTATGTGACTTTCATGAGTGGGGTCAGTTCAGAGCCCTAGGGCAGAGATTAGCACATGCTAAATGCTCAAGGCCTGTGTGTTGACATAGTGTGTGCAGAGGCAATGAGTGGATGGAGTGTGCAGGCTCTCTCTGTAACGCGATGATAATGATTGCACTCAATGTGACCTCCATCTACAGGTAGTGCCGAGCGTCCGAGTGTAAGAACGGCATTGGCCTTGCTGCAGCCCTTTAGGCCCTTCCTGTCCGAGGGAACATGACTTGAGGATGTGCAGCTGCTGGCAGACACTTGGAAGCTGGTCTCTGGCAGGTGGGTCCTGTTGTGCTCAGAGTTCATCATGTTTACTTGGAAATTTGCTTTGTTCTCGCGAGAAGGCTTGATCTCACAGCTGACTTTAGGTAATGCTCTTATTTCTGTTTCCATGGAAGAGCCATTTGTATTTAATGAGACTGAAATCACATGTAATGGAGGAAGGAAGAGGGAGTGGAGCAATATTTTCCAGATCCACCTCATAGTTCTCATTCACACTTGACCTAAATGAGTTGAGTGGTGTGTAAGTGTATTCACACTGGTATCTTTCCTACATATGTGTTCAGTTGGTTAAAAAATAGGAATATTTTTGCAATACCATAACTTAATATGAAACACTGATGGCTAGGCTTTCAAATTTCTTGTTAAGTTTATCTGAAAACTTCTCTACCACTTTACCTGAGACATAAAAAAATTACATGAAAAGATATACCTTATTTTTTTAAAAAAATATTTATTTGAAAGAGTTGAGAGAGAGACAAAGAGATCCACTAGTTCACTTCCCCAAAGTCCACATAGCCATGGTCGGGTCAGGCCAAAGCCAGGAACCAGGAACTCATGCAGATCTGCCCTGTGAGTGTCAGAAGGCCAAGCACTTGAGCCGTTTTCTGTTGCTTTCCCAGGCAGATTATCAAGGAGCTAGCTCCATAGTGCAACAGCAAGGACTTGAATCATCACACACATGGGCCAACATTGCAAGTAGTGGCTTAACCCACTGTAACACAGCACCAGCACTGACATACTTTATTTCTTGAAAATATCCATTATTGTAAAGGTATCAATTCCAAAAGAAATTCACAAATTTATTGTGAAATTTTCCATGGTATTTTTTTTTTTGGAGGGAAAGCTGTTCAAGATTGTTTTAAGCCTCACCCAAAAACTGAAGTTGTAAGAGTAACCAGTAACTTTCAGAACAATCAGAATATTATTAATAATCAGGAAGACAAATTCTCCCTTAATAAGACATGTTGTAAAACTTTTACACTTGAAATATGTGAAAGACCTCACCTCAACATAAATAATTTATAAATAAATAAAATAATTTATAAATAAAATAATTTATTACTAGTGAAGTTCATAAACAATTTTTAAAAATTAGTTTATCAATATCATCAAATGGGCAATTTTGTTAATTGTAACTTAGTCATAATGCAGAATATTCACAGCTACTAAATGTCACAGAGCTATTTATTGGAATGGAATTATACTAACAATGTTAGTAAATAAAAACTTTGCTGAAATGATTCCGTAAGGAAGCAATAAAAATATCACATCATTAAATATGCAGAAAAAATGAACATGAATAGAAAAGTACCAATATATCCGCAATGATTATAGCTTACATGTGCCTATGTGCTGAACCGATGGGTGACTAAAATTCTCTCATCTATAATGAATATGTATTAGTAATTAGAATATACATTAAGCTTTTTAGATGGTCACATGACACAAATGCTGTTTCCTGTTTTCAGACTAATTTCAGGCAAAATGTAAATTTTGTCCTTTAATATATGATTGATATTCATCAAATGATCCTCTCTCAAAGAAACAATTCAAAAGTGTCATGAAATTAGCCATTCCTCATTTTCTTGGCCGCTGCATTTGCAACAGGAGGCAGATTCTCCACCAAAACACTCATATTTTCAGCTGCAATAGAGGAAAGCCTTTTTTCCAATTCCCACCACAGAACTTCCCTAAGAATAATACAGCTGCAGGGCCACCCCTGCCTTTAGACGGGAAATACCAGCCGCAAGCTGCAGCTTTGTCGGCCAGCTCCAGCCCGCTTGCTCCGGCTGCTGTCTGCAACACTGGGCCTCTTGTCCTGCCACCGAGCCCCTGGTGGTCCAGGCTCAGAACTGGCTCTCACCACAGCTGGTAGGACTCAAGAGCTATTTATTCTGGGGCTGAGGAAGAAGGCAGTTCCTCACGAGGACCGTTTTACACCAGGACAGGAGTACTAGGCAACTTGGGACAAGAGAAATGGCAAGCAGGCTGCATAAAGCCTGAAGTTGTACACACTTACTTGGGGGAAGAGACACATTGGGACAGGAACCCTGTGCTTCCATTGTTTTCTCAGACTGTTAGCAGGCAGCTGGATCAGAACTGGAGCAGCTGGGACACAAATTGGCACCTCTATGCCAGAATCGCAGACAGTGGTTTTACACACTACAGGACGGGCCGGCAGCACTGATTGGCTCTTGGGTGATCCTTAAATGATCTTCCTGGATCATGTACTAGACCTCCAAGCACATAACTTTCACTTGTCTCAGGGTTCAGCTGAAAAACATGTTTTGAACATCTGAACATTTAAACGATGAGATGAGGCAGGCTCAGAATTGGAACCTTCCATTTCATTGTCTGGCACATGGGGTTTAGATGGGCTGATTCCACACAGGTGCTTTGCAGCCTATCTCGGCACTTACCATTGTAAATATGCTTCATAATATTAAAAATTAACGGCAGGCTTGCAGGGGGCCTGGAAGCGTAAACTTGCAGGAACTAAGGGATGGTGCTGGGAGGGGGTGGCATGCACAGACATGGAACTTCACACCCAAGCAAGCAGAGCAAGTCTTGGGATTTCCCCACGCCGTTGAGCCCAAGCAGGGCTAAGGGAAGGGAAAGGGAGAGTCCTGGGTTAGCATGCTGGTATTTTGTCTGGTGGACTGGGCTTGTAGAACTTTGAATGAGCTTGGATATTGGGTGAGCAGAAGGGCAAGGTCTCAGGCCAGGATATGTGCCAGGAGCTTGGGACCCTAGTTGGCGGGCAGAGCTCCAGGCTAGCACACTACCTCCTGGAAGGCTGGGCTCCAGAAGCCTATGCTGGGGAACCCATGTGCTCCTGGGCACAGGGACTATGTATTGATCAGGGTATGGGGTCAGGATATGGGTGGGAGGGAGGATCGCTGAAGCAATATGTTGCAGGTGAGGACTGACTTCTGGGGGATTCTACTGACAAAGCCACTGTACTTGCAAGCAATCAAGGGGGTTGAGACTGAGCAGTTTGGAGGGGGAAAACTAGAAAACCTTTATGGACCAAATTGGTGCACCAGCCCACGTGGGAGACCTAAGTTGGGCTAGTTCAAACACCAGTGACCACCACCCACTGGCACACACTAAAGCTAGGCCTTGGGGCCTACCTGGCAGGGCCAAATCAAAGTACCTACCAGTGAGAGTCAGAACAGGGGATAGGTCATGTTAGGACGGGCCATGACACTGATCAGTATGTGAGAGAACCAAGCCTGGGTGCAGATTCTGTCGAAGAATGTGGGCTCACCCCTTGGAACTGCGGTTTCTGCTGGTTTGTATAAGAACTAGGGGTAGCTTAGGCTGGGCATGACCATGGAAACCACGACACTCGTGGGTACTAGGGTTGGGAACAGGCTAGGGTGATCCAGGCTGTAGCAACCAAAGGCACACCCAAAAGTAGGGTGTGGGCTAGGCCAGACCATAACAAATCTACCAGCTCATACAAAAGCAGAGACAGGGGGCGTATTATGCCAGGTGAGGCCCTAGCACCCACTGGCATATCTAAAATCTGGGTCTGGGAATGGGCCTGGTGGAGAAACTTGGGAAACTCCTCTAATGGGCAGTAGCTCCTGCTGGTAAGCATGTGATACAGGAATGGGTGTTGGTAAGGCTGGGCAAGGCGACTCTACCCATTAGCAAATGTGTGGGTTGGTTCTGGAAGGAGGCTGATTGGGCAGGGACAGGCCAAACCATAGCACACAGGCATGTGCAGGAACGAGGCTGGAATGTAGGTCATGCCATGCTAGGCTATCACACCTACCAGTTTGCATGAGCCAGGGATGGGAGCAGACTGGGCAGGTCTAGGCTGAAGCACCCACTAGCAAGAATTGGGCCTGAGGGCAGACCAGAACAGGCTAAGCTGTAGCATCTGATGGCAAAGGCCATGATGAGGAATAGGCTATGCCAAGCTGGATCAGAGCAACCATTGGTATGCATGATATCTTGGATGGGAACAGGCCTGTTTTGGGAGATAAGGAGATACCCTAACTGGGTTTTTGATCCCACTGGTGAGCGCAAGAGCAAGAATGGGGACAGCGATCTGTGCTGGACATGGTTCTGGTATCCCTTTGCAGGGATATGGACTGGGTGTAGGGTATGCTAGACTTCACTAGGTTCTACCACCCACTGGTGCTCATAATAGCCTGGGTGGGATAGGCTAGGCTAGGTCTCTGCCCCTGCTGAACCTCATGAGAGCTATGTCTGGGTATGGACCAGGTATGGCTGGCTGTGACATCTAACAACAAGAATTGAAATGGCTTTGGGCTGGCTTGGTAAGGCCACTGTTCCTGCCAGGACAAGAGGTAGACTCAGTCAGTTTGGGCCAAGGAACCATTGGTATACGTTAGATCTACTACTGGGAAGAGACCTGATAGAGCAGCTTGGAGAATTCCTTTGTCAGGATGCAGTCCCTGCAAGTGATTGCAAGCATCAAATTTGGTCAAACTTGGGAGCAACCCATACCAGGCCACATTACAGTACCCACCGGCTCCATATGTGTCAGGCCTAGGAGCAGGCCAGGCTGGGTCAGTTCATAACACACACTGGCAGGTCTGAGAACCAGGACAGGGTGTAGGACAGCTCAGGTCAGGCTGCAACACCAGCCAGCTCACATTAGGACCAGGACTATGGGCTGGTTGGGCTAGGCTACAGTACCTATCAGTATGTGCTAGAATTGGGGGTAGACCGGGCTGGACAGGCTATAGCGCCCACCAGCAAATGCCAAGGTGAGGCAGGCAATGCCAAACTGAGCCACAGCACCCACTAGCACATGTGAGTTGGTGGGTGTGGTGTGCAAGTATGGAAGGGGGCTGCAGGGGATCCCCTGTGGGGCCACTGCTCCCACTGGTGAGCATGAGAACTGGACTGGGGCAGCCCAGGCATGGCAGGGCTACAGCGCATGTTGGCCTACATGTAAGTTGGGTTAGGAGGAGAGTCCGTTTGGGCTAGCCAACTATATCCACTGGTGCCTGCATGAGCCAGTGTAAGTGCAGGTTGATCAGGCTTTGTCACAGCATCAGCTGGCAAGTGCTGGGACTGGAGGGAAATCCTGTCAAGCTAGACTGCAGAACCACCTGGAGAGTGCAAGATCCAGGGCTGGGAGTGAGCTCAGCAGGGAAACTGTGGGCACCTCTCTGATGGGCTACTACTCCCACTGGTGAGCATGACGACCAGGGCTGGGGGTAGGCCTGGCTAGATAGGTGGTGGGACCTGCAGACATGAGCATGGACTGGATAGTGGTGTTGGTTGGGTTCACCTAGGCTTCAGCACTCATTGATGTATATGAGAGCTGAATGGCATGTGGGGGTAGACTGGTCCAGTCTGCTGCACATACTGGCAAGCATAGGAACTAGGGCTGGG